TTGGGAATCTACTGCATTGAGTAACTGAGTATTCTTGTGTTTAAAACTTTCCTCCTGCCCATTTTAAAAATTCACCTTAATTTGGATTTGAACCTAACCACCAGGCAGGCAGCAAGTATGCATAGCTTCCTGGGGTAGTCACTGAGCTTACTTGAAATTTATAGCATATTTTGTAACTATTTAAAGATGACTGTAGTTTGGCTTTCTGATGGACAAAATATCTGCACTCTTTCACAGGTGAAGGCCAGTGAGCCGGCTCTCATATCTGGCTATATGCACTGCAGTGAAGATGGAGGACACAGCTGGCATTACTTGTGGGTCACGGCTCACAAAGATTTTGTTCTTTATTCTTTTAAAGCTCATCAGGTAGGTAACATGGTTGTAACATCACCGCCACCACCATCTTCATCTTCATCATCATCTTTAATGCCAATCTCAGGTCAGCATTGTGCTGCTGCCTCAGTTATGCCATTGATCAAATTATCTACATATTTATCTTTTGTCAATTTGTTTTTGCTTGAGTTTAGCTGAGCTAAGATTCAACATTACAGCACTTGGGACTTTCCCATAGGTGCTCCATCCCCATCTTCAACAACAGGTGCATAATTTAAATTCTGTGGTGCCAGTAACAGTATGATCATATGTCCATCTTGCCTTTCTTTCCTGAGTGCTTTTAAATCATCAAGTTACCAATATATACTTAGTGTTAATCTCTCACATGCCCAAGTAATCTGGGCTTTCTGCATCTCATTTTGCTAATCAGTTTGCATTTATCTTGAGCTTCTTGTAAGAATGCTTCATCTGGCTCTACCCCCTCCCCCCCCCCCCCCAGCTTTGTTCATATCTTGCTAAGAAACCACAATTCCAGTGCTAGTTCGTTAGTTAGTGTTAATCAAAAGATTATCCTCACTTCACATCGGACAAGTCCATAAGTGCTCGGATCCCATCTTCAGTATATCCCTCAGTGTATGGTGACTGATAACACCAGTTCTATGTTGGTTTACTATTCTTCTTTGGCTGCCTATACAGTGTTCATGTTTGGTGACATCTCCTTCGACCTGACGTTTTTCTGAAGCTGTCAGCTGTTTCTAACCTTGTCTCCCTGAGAGACCACAGTTCTGATGCTGTCAGCTGTTTCTAACCTTGTCTCCCTGAGAGACCACAGTTCTGATGCTGTCAACTGTTTCTAACCTTGTCTCCCTGAGAGACCACAGTTCTGATGCTGTCAGCTGTTTCTAACCTTGTCCCCTGAGAGATCACAGTTCTGATGCTGTCAACTGTTTCTAACCTTGTCCCCTGAGAGACCACAGTTCTGATGCTGTCAACTGTTTCTAACCTTGTCCCCTGAGACCACAGTTCTGATGCTGTCAACTGTTTCTAACCTTGTCCCCTGAGAGACCACAGTTCTGATGCTGTGAACTGTTTCTAACCTTGTCCCCTGAGAGACCACAGTTCTGATGCTGTGAACTGTTTCTAACCTTGTCCCCTGAGAGGACAAAGTTCTGATGATGTCAGCTGTTTCTAACCTTGTCTCCCTGAGAGACCACAGTTCTGATGCTGTCGGCTGTTTCTAACCTTGTCCCCTGAGAGACCACAGTTCTGATGCTGTGAACTGTTTCTAACCTTGTCCTCTGAGAGGACAAAGTTCTGATGATGTCAGCTGTTTCTAACCTTGTCTCCCTGAGAGACCACAGTTCTGATGCTGTCGGCTGTTTCTAACCTTGTCTCCCTGAGAGACCACAGTTCTGATGCTGTCGGCTGTTTCTAACCTTGTCCCCTGAGAGACCACAGTTCTGATGCTGTCAGCTGTTTCTAACCTTGTCCCCTGAGAGATCACAGTTCTGATGCTGTCAACTGTTTCTAACCTTGTCCCCTGAGAGACCACAGTTCTGATGCTGTCAACTGTTTCTAACCTTGTCCCCTGAGACCACAGTTCTGATGCTGTCAACTGTTTCTAACCTTGTCCCCTGAGAGACCACAGTTCTGATGCTGTGAACTGTTTCTAACCTTGTCCCCTGAGAGACCACAGTTCTGATGCTGTGAACTGTTTCTAACCTTGTCCCCTGAGAGGACAAAGTTCTGATGATGTCAGCTGTTTCTAACCTTGTCTCCCTGAGAGACCACAGTTCTGATGCTGTCGGCTGTTTCTAACCTTGTCCCCTGAGAGACCACAGTTCTGATGCTGTGAACTGTTTCTAACCTTGTCCTCTGAGAGGACAAAGTTCTGATGATGTCAGCTGTTTCTAACCTTGTCTCCCTGAGAGACCACAGTTCTGATGCTGTCGGCTGTTTCTAACCTTGTCTCCCTGAGAGACCACAGTTCTGATGCTGTCGGCTGTTTCTAACCTTGTCCCCTGAGAGACCACAGTTCTGATGCTGTCAACTGTTACTAACCTTGTCTCATCGTTGCCAAATTTCAAATTCATACACTTCCCTTGTGGGTCCTAGGGTCCCATTTTGGGCAAGATAAAAAATTCGACTGACTGCCTCCTCTCCTCCAACAAGCATGTCATAGAAGGCCACTGAATAGGGGTTCGCTGAAACAAGATGTGCTGATCTGAAAGGCGCATATTTAGCAGCAGCAGTAAACCACAAGACAACATACCAACAATCCTTTTGAGGGCAAACACAGAAGAACAACACATATACAACAGTATATGTTCTGTATGGCAACCTTGTTTTCTGACTACAGTACGGGTTTCTGTTAGAGTTCTGTTTTGATTCTTTTTAAATTTCCTCACAAGTTCAACATTGTTTTGTGTCTTGTGTGGACATGTACATGTTACAAATTTGGAGCTATGGAGACTTAGTGGCTAGAACACATGACAGCCAGCCAGCCTTGAGGTTCTGTGTTTGAATCCCGCTAAACTCTTTCAGGCTGCATAGTCTCGAGGTATGGCATTTGCCTCAAGTGCTGGAGGTCCCATTTTCAAACCCCTGTGAAGGTTGGGATTTTTTCATGTAGTGTTAGAAGTAGAACGGAGCACTTATGGGTTTCCACAAAACACAGAAGAAAATGAACTGTCTGAAAATCATGCTAGCAATGAATCAGATCAGTTTGCGCCCACATGTGTGTCAACATAGACTTGTTTACACAAAAAAGAATGTTAGAGTAACCTTACCTGGATACTTTAATGGTGGTTCCAAACATTAGAAATGAATATGGAGCCATATGCGACTCATGTGGTAACAGGACACATGATTGACAGTGTTGTTTGAGCATATCTGAACTTTTCAGTCATCACACATAACCTGAACTCTGAGGTCAGCTCAGTTAAAATGGGGACTGTGTGTTCTATGAAGTAAAGCTAGCATATTGATCACACTCTTGTTGAGTGCTGGTTCTCCTCTTCCTCCTCATCCTTCATCGTCATCCTCTTCAGCTCTCCAACAAACCTTCGAGGTACACTGCTGCGGATATCACCCCCACCCCGCTCCATTCAGCTCTTTCCACTTGGTGCCTGTATGTTGTCTCTCCATTGTCTTGGTCTGCATCATGGTCTGCTTTCAACTCTTATGCTGTGTATGCAGTTTCTGTCTGTCTGTCTGTTTTCTGCCCTCTTCTCTCTATATGCCCCAAGCATTACAGTCTATAAACTCTCGTGGTGCTAGTAATTTATGGTGCGTGTTGAAAGGAAGTAGCACCATGAGCCTCTGTCGATCTGTAAAATGTTTGTCTAGAATCATATACCCACTGTGTCTAATATTGAAGTAAAAAGACTCTTTTTTCCACACCTTCAGGTGTATTGGGCATATTGGGCTGTACTTTATAGACCAATCGGCACTTGGTGGTTGATATGGCTGCTGCCTTTACTTTCCAGTAATGTAATTGGTACTCATTTGAGGCTTGGTCGACCTGGGAACCACGGTCATTTCTGAAAGATGTCTGGACCTAAACCCACAATCTTCTGCTTCATAGGTGATCATCTAGCCACTACACCACTGTGGCACCCTGTATCTAAAGGTATTGATAATAAATTAAACCCAATTTCTGTCCCTTTGCTAGATCTTGTTTTCACCTTTTAAAATCTGTTTTCATTTGAAAGGACGTTAGTGCAATCAGCTCACTACCATTACCTGGCCATGAGGTGACCCAAATATGGGACATTGAAAGCAAGCCGTACGTGTTCTGTCTCAGCCATAAGATGAAAAGAGTCTGTATGTTTCAAACAGATAATGACAAACACATGAAAAGGTCAGTGTAAAAATTATGTAGACTGAAAAGTGTCCACTTTTTAAATAACTTCATTGGCCACGTGGGTTCCGGGCCCCCATTTGGGTTATGGGACCCCATTTTGAGCGCAAGAAGAAGAGAGCCACTGCCCCTATAACAACATGTTGTAAATAGCAACTATTTGAAGTGTTTTCTTCAAAGTCAAAATGAATTTGCCTGAGAGGCAAGGAACCAACAGTCTGCATATTAAAAAACCATGTTAAACAGATGTGCACACAAAACTCAAGTTTTGGAACTTAAGTCCAGGAAGTGGGAACAACTAGAATTTTCTGCTGGAGTTTACAGCTGATAAACATGAAGAAGAAGAAGACATTACTAAATAGATTAGTGTCATTACCATACTCATATTGTAATTCTCAGGTATCTGGTCTGTAACAGATATCAGTGATCATACCTCCTTAGTCTTTTCTCTCTTTTGATAAAGTAGCTGTTGCCTAATCAATAAGCAGACACATCAAATGCTAACCTTATCATTATCATCATCAGGAGCCTTGCCAACTGGCATGGGCAATCATGCCTGTCCACAGTCCGCGATCTCCTGCAGCATGTCTCAGTTCCTATGCTGACACACCTCCATGCATTGCAACAAGACTGTCAAGAATTTTCTCTCATTATCTTCCTGATTACACTCCTTCTACAGATCTTTCCAGTGGTCACAACATGTTCCATTTTCCCTCTTCTCATAACATGGCTGAAAAATGATGACTTTCTCCTTCTGATGTCTGTGTTAAGTTGTCTTCCGGCTCCTGCCTCTTTCAAAACCTTTTGGTTGCCCTTTTTAGCTGTCCAAGGTATTCTAAGCATTCTCCTATAAAACCACATCTCTGAAGTCTCAAGAAATTGTTTGGCCTGCCTACCGATTGTTACCTTATAGTTACGTTTAAAAAGAATGTTGATAATTTTGTTAGCATTGCTGAGATTATTAATTCTTGCTTAGTTGTTTCGGCTTTCCACATATATCTGTCTATTTATTCCTTTCCTCTTGTGTTTTCCCACTTAATTCTCTGTGCTAATTTATCTATTCTACTTCTTTCATTGATATGCTACAACGATTTCATTGGTCTTTCTTGTGGATTTCAGTAATCTATTATTTATGTAGATTCATGAAAACAGGATACTATGGATTCATCTTGCATCATCATCATCATGTGGCAGGTCCTTTGCAGAATGTCCCTTTTGTCACAATCTGCCTGAAAGAATAGCTTATATTCTGTGCCCATCTTTATGTTGGTCCACCCCTGCCCCTCCTTCCTGGCACAATGCCTTTTGCTATTATTTGTTTCAATCCGTCATGGTGCTTGATGTGACCAAAATATTTCAGCTTCCAAGACAAGATACTGTTTAATTAACCAGTCTTTCTTGATGTTCAGATCTTTTAAAATGTCAGTATTTCTTTTCTTCTTTGTCCGTGTATTCTGAGAATCTCTCTAAAGCATTTCATATCAAAAGCCCCATAGAAGAGAAAAATATGAAGGGAATAGGGATAAAGAAGAAATTCGTTGCTAACAGGTTGCGAGCTGAGTATCTGACAAGAGGCACTCTCAATGCATGGATGACAACAATGATCTGGAAATCTTGTGCTTTGAGTGTGGAAGACTTTTATGAACACAGCAGGTCTTGCTAGTCATGTTCACCATCATCACAGGCTATGACTCCAATTCCTCCTTATAACAAAACACTTCTTCTTTTCTCTACATTAGAATGCCTCAGTTTTAGGGCAGGGAGAAATCTTTGGAGCGGGCTCTTCTGTTTGTTTCATATAAAGTACTTTTCAGTGTCTCTGAAAATTCTGCTCCATATTTTGCATGGTTGACCTCTGGACTGTTACAGTCATATCTGTATAGCATTGCTCTCTGTGGGACCCTGTCTGATGCCAATTTTGTTACCTGGCCAAACCATTTTATTTTTTTGTCTACCTATAAAGTTCAGTATTGGTTCTGTGCCGATTCTTCTCCTGATATCATCGTTCCTAAATCGATCTATCCTTGTTTCACCTAGCATAGTACATAAAAATTTTATTTCTATCGTGACTATTTTCCTTTTGTCTTCTGAAAAGTGTCCATGTTTTTCATCGATAGCATGGCATTGGTAAGAACATAAAACTACCGTCTGTAAAGAGAGAAAGGTTCCAGGATTAATCTGTAAATTCAACATGTAATTGTTGATTCTGTTAATTTCACACATTTCTGTGTTTGTACAAATTCAGGTGATTCTTCTTCTCCACACATTTGTAATTTTGTATAAATTTAACAAGTAATTATTTACTTTATTCTTGTACACACATTTCTACATGTTTTTAATATAAATTTAACAGGTGGATGTTTATTCTGGAGAAACTTGTACGTGCTGAATTACCTGAAGACAGCTCCAGGCTGTCCTCACAGTCCAACAGCAGCAACAGCTCATCAGCTTCAGACAGCGGCACCAACAATGATTACAACCCCAGCAGTACTGGATCCAGCAACCAAGCCGACGGAGGTCAGCCCTGCAGCAATAGTAGCAGTCTGTCTACACTGGGTGTTGATGATGTCAACCCAGATAATGCTGATGGGATCAGCCAGTATGACAATGTGGATGGGGTTGTCACGGAGTAAATCAGATTTGAAATCTTTTAATCATAGGCAGCTCTTACATCAAGACTTTCTCAGTGACTCGATGAGTATGCCCAGGAAGATAGAAAATGGCTGGGTCCGAAGGCAGAGGTTGGTGGCTCTACTGAATTCACGGCTGACAAGGATTAGTTTCATTTTTGTGCCAGGATATGTGGGGGTACGAGGAAATTAGCAAGCTGATAGGCTTGCAGGTAAGGCTACTGTGAAAGCCCGACAAGCCATGGACCAGGCTGATATACTGAATTCTCTAAGAGTTGAGACGTATGCGTGAACCAACTGAGAACTGTGAATCTGCATGGTCAGACTGCAAGAACAACATGTTAAACGGAGTGTTGCCAAACAAGAATACCACACGAGTAGTCAAAGAATAATAATAAACCAACACAGAACTGGTGTCATTAGCTGCTACAAGTGGCAGGATTTACTGAGGAGGGCATCCGAGCACTTATGGAGTGAGTGGTTTGACATCCAATGAGGATAATCTGTCAACTAACCAACTAACTAACATCAAGACTTTATGTCTCAGAGTTTGTGTATTTTAAAGAGAGGAGGCATGCTGGATGGTCTTAGTCAGGGGTTAGGAGGAGTTTCATCAACAGAATTGATCCAGAACATCAAGGACCAAGATCTGGGGAAAGACATGGATGTGTATGAGTTTAGAACTGACGACATAGCACTTGAGACATTCCCATAAACGCTTCATCCCCATCTTCAGATGCCAGCACAAAATTCCCTTTCCATTGCTACCATTAACAGTCTGTGTGTCCATCTTGCCCTCATTCTGAGTGTTCAATGTTGGCCAGACCTCCTGGTCAATCTTCACTACATGATTCTCTTCAAACTGAGATGATTTGTCTGTGTTTCTGCACTGTCTACTTGCTGCCAAAGGGCACTTACAATATCTAGTATGTCTTGCATCAGTTTACCACCAAATAGTGCAGAACAAGCCATCGTCTGCCTGTTCATTTTCCAACATGCCGGCATAAGAAAGTAAAGTAAAGGACCTTTTTCTATGCCTTTAGGCGTATAGGGCATATAGGGCTAGACCTATATTTTTATAGACTAATTGGCACAAGATGGGTGATGTGGTCAGCATCATGCCGGCCATCTTTACTTCCTGGGACTGCACCCAGTACCCACTCAAGGTTGGGTCAACCTGGAAGCCAAGGTCATTTTTGAAAATAGTCCGGCTCCACCAGGGAGAGAACCCTTGACCTTCCGATATGCCCGCATAACCTGGAGAAAATATCCAAAGGATGCTAACTACCTAGGACCTCTGAAGCAATGCTTGCCTCTCTGCATGGAGCACGTCTGTCTCCACCCATGTATGCTGCCTGGCAGGGCACATCATGATGGAGAGAGAACCATTCTTTGAGCGAAGAAATTATTAAAACATGACAGCATTGAATTAATTGCACCAGATTTTATCCCTTCTAGGTCTTTCTCTACAGATTGCCTAGCCATATGCTAAGAGTGACACATCAGACTCAAATCTGTAGCTCTAGCACTCCCACCCCCTTTCAAATCCGAATCCCCCAGTAAGCTGTGAATTTTTGTTTTTTGTTTTGCTTGTAAACACAGATACAGTTTCGAAGTGAACAAGCAATGGAATTAGTAGAGAAAGAAGATTATTATGGCCTGGAGAGAATGAGGCACCTGGGTATAACTAGAGGGCCTGGCTGGCTCACTAAACTCAAGAGGAAAGGCGAGACGAACATAAAATCAGATTGTGACCGGTACCATCAGTATTGGAACTCTGCGCTGGCTGCTGAAGATGAGGATGGAGCACCCATGGAAATGCCTTGAGTGCTGTGATGTCAGTTCTTGACTCAGCTCAACTTAAAATGAACTCTAGACATTTAGAGTACTAGACAAATGTTTTATAAGTTTGCTAAAAATCAAGTAAGGGACCCTTTCCCACACCTTCAGGTATATTTGGCATGTAGGGTTAGACTATTTACAGACCATTTCGAACTCTCGTGTGAATGGAGACCCCAAATCTTGGCGAAAGATAAGAAACACCCACTGCACTTTTCAGTGAAAAGGGCTAAAGAGGAAACTAATTTTTAATTAGCATGTGATAAAAGGCGACTAATTAGGGTTTGTTCAGATCACATGTACTGGGCTGAAAGGCGCAGATATTGCAGCTTTGCTGTAAACCACAACACAGTATCAACCACCCTTCTCACAGAAACTACAGAAGAAGAAAAAAAAACATATATGCAGCTACCTCCCTTTTGCTATGACTTTTGTTAGGCAGGATTGTTGCTTAGTTGTTTCATAGGTTGCTTGGTTGGTGACTGCAAGTCTCTGGGAGACTTTAATTCTAACTCTGGAATATAACCCATGGGATGTTCACATCATCTAAGCCTTGAAAATCAGAATGAGACTTGTATAGAGCCTCTGCTCCCAACACTTTCGTATCTTCCTTACCTGTACAGGCCTGCAGCTAACACTGAGCTGGTGTGGCCATTACCTCTTTTATAATTCTGTTCCGCTATAGGAAACAATTTTTCATTTTTTTTAAAGCCCCACTCAAGCTGTTGTCGGAGGCCCTAATATAAATAATGGTTGAACGAGGTTTCTGTGCCCATATGATCCTCATCCAAATGGTGGCACTTTGTCTAACCAAGTGTTGGTCGCACATTTTGCTGTCCTGGTGGGATTGATCACACAAGCAACAACTTCTTTGAAAGTTCAATCAAGCAATTAATCATCAAATGAAGTATCCAGGATCTGCCCTGTTGGTTTGCCTTCCAAACTGAGATTTAAAAAAAAAATCTCATGATTGTAAACCTTTAAGCTGCAGCTCAGAGGGGACAAATGAACAGATCTGATGGTTCTGATGTACCGTCTCTACAAGGGGGTTGTAGAACTCTCCTTGCTGTCTTGAAGAGATTGTGTTACTGTTTTTCAAGCTTCACATTTTCTGAGAGACAGTGATCCCTTCAGTGTTGGCCACATTTGAAACTCCCTGGTTTTGATTGCTGTCTGTGAATAAACTGCACTAGTTGAGAGATGCTACAAATTCCTGGCCAGTTACATCCTGTTTCTGGTCTAGTGATCTCTGTGGCCCATCACGAAAGTTAACATTTGTGTAAATATATGTACAGATTAAATAATGTTTATATAATTTAAATATATTGAATCATGCACTGTGACTAGAAAGTTTAAAAGAAAAAATGTGTGAAAATATTTTTCTTTTTTTAAATAAAAATCTGGGAAGGCTAACGTGGGCAAGATATGCCTAAATAAGTTACATGTTTCTGTCAAAAAAGCATGCATATCAGTCATGTTTTAATCAGGCAAAACGCAGTTAATCTTTGGATGAACGCAGAAGAAGAAAAATATTTGTTTCTATACACCACTGGTTTCCAGTAACATGACACTCTTTTATATTTGAAGGTCTGCCACAAACTGGATACTTTTCAAGTCATATTAAAAAAAAAAAATAAAGTAAATCTGTATTCAAATTTTTTTTTAAAAATAAACATTATTTTTGAGGTTTTTTCTTTCTAAATGATATCACAGTTTGGGAATCACATTCAGTACTTAATGGGGGAAGGATCTATCATCTTTGTACCCATACTCTGTTTCCTTATCTTTCTGTTCACACTTTTTCTTTTCCTTTATCTTTCTGTTCACACTTTTTATTTTCCCTTATTTTTCTGTTCACACTTTTGTTCCCCTTATCTTTCTGTTCACACTTTTTCTTTTCTTTTACCTTTCTGTTCATACTGTTTTTTCCCTTATCTTTCTGTTCACACTTTTTCCTTTCCCTTATCTTTCTGTTCACACTTTTTCTTTTTCCGTATCTTTCTGTTCACACTGTTCCTTTATATTTCTGTTCACACTGTCTGTTCCTTTCTCTTTCTCTTCATGCTGTCTGTTTCCCTGTGTCTTTTTTTCACACAGTAAAAAGGCTCAATACTGCCCTAAAATCACTGTTTGTCTATTTGAATATTTTGTTTTTGTTGACAGTTAAAACATAAATTAGTCAATTTCACTAATTACTGGTGTGCAGGCACATCAGTGGAGTGTACATAATTAATGTGTATTTTGTATTAATTTCAAGAGATTTATTTATAAATTTGTAGTTTAACATGCAGCACATATTTAGTTTAATATGTTTGTACTGACTTGTCAGATGTAATTTATCTATTAATTTGTTTTTTCAATGTGTATTTTTCTTTCAGTTTGTGTTATTTATTTAACATGTTGCTTTATATTTCAATCAGTAATTATAATTTATCATTGTTTTTAAGATCATTAAATTGTACTGTATTGATAGTATAATTTTGAATTGGTCTGACCAAATTATTCACTTCTGAAAGATCTTATTCAAGTGGAATGAGAAATCATCATCATGTAGTAGGTCCTTTGCAGAACTTCGCTGTCATCACGGTCTGCCTGAAAGAAACTCATTCTCTCGTTTATTTTCATACTCAAGAAGTCCCACAGGATGAGAAATACATTTTAAAAATGCTTTTTTTTTCTTCTTCTTCTTCTTCTTCTTCTTCTTCTTCTTCTTCTTCTTCTTCTTCTTCTTCTTCTTCTTCTTCTTCTTCTTCAGTTCTTCTGCATTTCTGCATTTGTCCATTAAAGGTTAGCTGGCAAGTTGTATTATGGTTTACTAGTATGCAGTATCTGCACTTTTTTTTTTTTTTTTGCTCAACACATCTGATTTTGGCAGACTCCAATTAGTCATCTTTTATGACACACTAGTTGAGGCCGTAAAGCTGGTTGAGGCTGTAATGCTAGTTGAGGCTGTAACACTAGTTAAGGCTGTAACGCTAGTTGAGGCTGTAACACTAGTTGAGGCTGTAACGCTAGTTGAGACTGCAACGCTAGTTGAGGCTGTAATGCTAGTTGAGGCTGCAATGCTAGTTGAGGCTGCAACGCTAGTTGAGGCTGTAACGCTAGTTGAGGCTGTAACACTAGTTGAGGCTGTAACACTAGTTGAGGCTGTAACACTAGTTGAG